ATATCATGAATAATCATATATTTGAAAATACTGAAAATTTTACAAAGCATCACAATAGCTATTTTAAGTAGCAAAGAATATCAATGAGCATAGTTTTTCTTTTTATTATTCGAAAACTTATTTCATAAGTTTGAAGTTTGAGCTTGAGTAGTATGATTATCAACAGTTGATATTGTTTGAACACTATTTCCTTCATTGAATCTATCCATAATAGATGATGATATTGAAGGAATTGAATTTCGTAAAATATTTCGATTACATAGTGGACAACTTTGATGGGCTAATAACCATGGATCAATACATGTTAGATGATAATAATGTGAACAAACTATTTTTTATTGAAAAAAAAGAAAAACAAAATTTAATCATGAGTTATTTTTCTTTTCTTACCCAGTTTACGAAGTTTTTCATTATTTTCAAATGATTCTAAGCAAATAGCACACATTGGACTATCATCAGAGAATACATTATCTTTATTATCTGGATCATATATAATAATTGGTGATTTATCAAGTATCTGTTGAGTTGATTTTTCAAGTGCTAAACGAAGTTTTTTATCTTTTCTTTGTTGTTTAAATCTTCGATAATACATAATTGAAGTCCAAAATGTACAAATACTACATATGAGACCAGCACATACACTGAGAGAAATAATTCCAACAAGTGTTGATGGAATTGCTTCTTCTGGATAAGAATTTCCTTTTCTTGTAGTAGTAGAAACACTTTCCACTATCTCACATGTTAAATTAAATTTTTTTTGATCAGGTGATTTTATTGAAACTAAATCACGAATGATAGATATGATACGAGCAGTTGGAGATATTATTTTTAACACATAATTACGGTAAGGTATTAAGTCGTCAAGAATAAAATTCAAAGCTTCAAAATATTTATAAGTATTTGAAATAAAAAACAAAATAAACTTACTTGTATTTCTTATACATGGTACATTGTATGGCAAATAATTAACACACTCAGCGAGTTTAACATCAAGTACATCGCCATTTATGACATCTCCTTTAAAATTATACCAGAAACCTACGTTTTTTCTTGAATATCCACGAGTATTAACTTCTATATTTTCAATATTGCCAGATTGATTAGTATAATAAAACATAAGACGCACATGTTTACCTATAATTGGTATCGTAGAAGATTTAATTAATTGACAACAAAGAAGAAGAAGAAAAGCGAACAAAAACAATCGTTGTTGCATTGTATGAACAAATAGCTTTTGCTTTTAACTGATTTAATAAAAAATAGTAATAATGAACGTAAGAGACTCGCTGTTTTATAAAAATAAGTGAACATTATGCTTTCTTTATTTTATTTTTTATCTATAAGTCATAAGGTGAGATAATTCTTCATAGCTGACATGAATAAATAGCGTTTTTTTTTACTTAGTTTCATCATTGAGATGTGACAATTTACTGTTGTTTTGGTATGGTAAATACAAAAATATGTTCAGTAAAAGAGCAAATGAAATTTTATTAAACGAGAAAAAGTAAATATATATAATACATGCTGTTGTCAATATTTTCTTTCAATAGATGGATTACAGAGAAAACATGTTTTTTTATTGAAATGGTTGTCAGGTTTTGTAAATCAATATTTTCCTTCAAAATTATGAAATATTTTTTCTGTAATTTTTCTAATATGTACTCTAAAAGTTCTTTAAAATTAATAATTTTAGACAACAGAAGGGAGATTATTTTATTAAATCGTAGAATTGATATAACAGGTGATGCAAAAATATCGCTTTATTTTTCATTGGCTACGATGTGTTTTTGGCCTTTGAGTAGCGAACACATCTTTAAATAAAACTAATATACAGTCTAGAAAATAACTGTAATATATTGTTGCTCTCTTTTTCATTGTATATGCCATTTAATTCTCTACGAAGATAATAGAAAATACTCTGGTATTATTCAAAAATCAGTTCCTTCTGTCGTAATCATTGTGAATTACATTTTAATATCATCTAAGTACGTGGCCATAATTCCAAAGCAAGACATCATCGGTATTTTCTGCATATAAAGTTAGATAGCGCTTTTGAATTAGATTTAAAACATATTGTAGCGAGGGTGATGAAAAATAACGTGATATTTTATAAAAAAAAAACTTTTGCATCATCCGTTAGTAATCTTTCAATTATAATCCAATAGTTTTTAATTATTATATTTATATGTGTTAATACTATATGGATGACCTTAAAAGTTTTCAACAAAATGATAGTGTAAATATTTTAGCTGATGTTTTTAATTATACATTTACTCTTCTAGCTCTTGTTTGCTTTACCAGAAGCTTCTACGACGCTAACAGATGGTTTTTTTTACTTTGACATCTGTAATAATGTTTGCTTTTGATGGAATGCCATTCAATAACAATTGTAAATTATAATAATGATTGTTTATGATATAAAAATAGACTTCAATTCACTATTTATTATTGTATTTTCACTCAAAAATACCGTCAAACGAGATTTCTGAAAAGTATGCATATAAAATTCTGTTAGTGATGGATAAAATATTCAAAGATGTAAACTATTTCCATAATTGAATATTGCTATTTTCAAAAAGAAACTATTTATGTCGTGCCGAAGTTAAACTTCAACAGGAAAAATTGTAGGTGATCAACATTACTGATTTTCGAGAATCGAACTTTTTCAAAATTTATCTTGTTTTCTTCAAGAATTTTCTGCATAATTTCTTAACATAATATTTTCAATTAATGAACATAAGATCATAATCCTACACTCACTCTTTGCTTAGGATACTTCTTTGCTGATATCGTGATCTTTACAATTGTATCAATATTCTTGTATCAACTTTTATATGAAAAAAAATTTTCATATCTTAAAACTAATCTCATTTATTCTATATTTGGATTAAAAAAAACGAAAAATATTCAACATAGTATAAAAAACAAAACAAAAATTTATATGAAACAATGAAAAAATTAGTATAGAAAAAGCGCGCGCGAGAGAAAAAAAAATAAATAAATGAAATTCACTCCGAAAATTTTTGGAAAAGATTATTATCCATATTTTGATAATGACTTTTCTGTTGAAGAGAAGATGATAATGAAGTGTCTATTCCATTTTGAATTTCTTTTGGTCGATGTTTATAATATAATTGAAGTTCATTACGCCAATCAGATTTCATATTCATTAAAATTTCTAATGGAGAATAATATTTTGCATAGATACGATTAAAATCGATTTTTATCATAAATGATGATTGACGTAATTCATCTAACGAACATAAACGTTGATTGGGATTCTTTTCTAATAAACGTATTAATAATTCTTTTACTTGAAGTTTATTTTCAAGTGCTACGGATGGCAAATTAAATGTATGATTTAGGACTTTATTTGCCATTGTTACATGATCTTTTGTTGCTGACACCGGATATTCACCAAATAAGCATGCATACATAAGAATACCTAGACTCCACCAGTCAACACGATGATCATAGGGTCGAACGCTAAGGACTTCAGGTGCAATATCTAAATAAAACAATTTAAGATTAAACAGATATTTATTTATTTTATTTACATTGTAATGTTCCACATATAGTTGATGTTCGTTGTCCCAATGCAAGCCATTTTGATAAACCAAAATCAATAATTTTTATATTACCATGTTCATCAAGTAAAATATTTTCCATTTTAACATCTCGATATATAATACCTTTACTATGTAAATAATCAAGCACCATGGCTACCTGGGCTATATATATTTGTACAATTAATTGAGGAAAACGACGTATACGTAACCATAATGATAATAATTCACCATTTTCTACATAATCAGTTATTATATATAAATAACGACGAGATTGCCAATAATAATGTGTATGTACAATAAATGGATAGGAAAGACATGATTGTGCTATTGTTACTTCGTCTGAAAATTGAGAGAGTTTTTAATGAAAATTTCAAATAGATTCAGTGACGGATTTAGGGGGAGCGATCGCCCCCCCTCCCTTCGGAAATGTTTTTTTGATTTTTTACAGCAAAAATAGGTTTACACTATTTCGATTGTACTCAAAGAATAGGTTTTAGCCAAAATCGCTCCCCCCTGCTCCTTAGGTACCGCGCCTGCCTACTTAGGTATCGCTCCCACCTGCTCCTCAGGTACCGCGCCTGCCTACTTAGGTATCGCTCCCCTCCTTCCAACGTCTTGGATCCGCTACTGAATAGATTTCGATGCATTTTTGTACTTGGAATTATAGAAAAATCCTCAGTATTCATATCGTATCATCTAATACATAATTCTAACTTCTTTCAATCTGAGGAAATATTTTTGAAAATAAATAAATAAAACAATTTGATGTTAGTACAAAATTCTTTCGAATAGATTTATTATATTTACCTTTGACTTGTTGAACAGCATTATCTTTAACAATTTGTGATTTACTCATAATTTTCATAGCATATATATGTTTGTCATGTATAGAACATACTTGTATCACATTTCCAAAGGCACCTCGTGCAATAATATCGATAACCTATATTATATAAGAAGAAAAACTATGAAAAAAAAAACATTCATATTTTATTTTACTTCAAAATCAGCTTCGGTTATTCTTCCTTTAATTGAAAATTCAGGTAGAAAAAGTGCTTCATGTCCATGAACAGGAAAATTTGTACTTGAACGTCGATATGGATTTCTTAATGAAGATGTTTGATATTTTCGACGTGATTGATTTTTATAAACACCTGAATGTGTACCATGATATTCTCGACAATTTCCATTTTTTAATGGTAATTCTTGACGAATATTTTCTAATGGATCAATTGGAGATGATGATAATGATGGATGAAGAAAATTAAAGCTACGAGAAAATAAACTAATTGTTCGACCACCAATTGATTGTAAACTAACATTAAGATATGATGAAACTGTCTAAACAACATGAAAAAAAGATTTTACTTTATTATTATGTAATATTCTCTTTTCACATTATTCTTTCTAAACATTTATTTTGGCATATTTATTCAATAAAAAGAATTTATTTGCATAAACTCTAATAACGATCATAAAGCCTTTCAATTCACCAGCTCTTTGCAAATAATAACGAATGCTTTCTTTTATAAGTGACAGATCAAAATAAACACTTATCAATGAAGACTGCAATGTGAAGAATTAAGTAGGAAAAAAAATGTGCATAATCATATTTATACATCTCAATCTTTATTCGTATATGAATAAAATTCTCATCAATTAAGTGCTTTTTTTTGTTCTTTTCTTTTTGTTAATTTATAATCATCATGGCTTATCTCAATTTAATATCAGTTCAAACTAAATAGGACACATTTGCACTCATAAAATTGATAAAAGAACAAACTTTCTTTTATATATATAAGATACTCGTGTGTATATATTATGTTCTTTTTTCACATTTTAACAATTATGTCACAAAGAGAGATTGCATAGGTTGAAAGAATACTTTTATCAATATTCACTGTATAAATTGATCACACAAAAAAAACGAAACGAAACGAAACGTACAAAAATGAAATCATTTGAGAATATAAATCATACCTGCGGTCGTTTTGTTTTCTTATCGAGATGTCCTTGTCGTGTGTGTCGACGACGAAATCGAGGTGATGGACCATGCTTTTTACTATTACTATTTCGATCTGATGATGTTTCAAAATTATTGTTAATATCGTCGTTATTTATTACGTAATTATTTGATTTTTGTTGATGAATATAACGATAATTGTGATGATTTGTTAAATGTGATGAAGAATTTTTATTGCCCATCGAATAATATCGATCGACATAGCGTTTTTTATTTAAATTAATTCTATTCAAAAACTAACATCACACAGGTAGATGAAATGTGACACAGATGCTTTCAATGTTTATGCTAAAAAGATAAAAGAAAATCAATATGAAGACAGACAATGTCAATGGCATTTTTTCACGTACATATATATACATGTATATGTGAGAAAGATATTATTGGAGATATAAAAAGTGGTTTGCCCTTTTTTTTTGCTTGCTATATGTTATTATATATATATATATATTCTCTGTGTGTGTATGTATATATTAGAAACGAAAGAGAAAAGAGAAAAAAAAACGATTTATTATTAGCGTAACAATAATTGAACATGATGATACTTCATACTTTCATTGTCATATGAATAGAAAGGATCAAAATGCGGAATATAGTTTGTCAAAGAGTGTTTTATTGACTCACTTAATAAGAAAATTGTATAGATTTTGTTAATCACATTCATTTTCACACATGCATGCACATGCTATAATGTTGTTAGTGA